GTAGAAATTGTTCGAGAGTCGTACACCAAATTCCATAATTTCCAAAATCTTATGAATACAACGACTAATATCGGCGGTTGCAGACCCTTCTTGTTGAACATTTCTTCTAATGGATTGTGGGAAAACCTAAATTCGCCCGATGTGATTTTCAGCTACTCACTCCCTCTCCTGGAGATTCAGATATTTCTTATATTCATTTTCATCGTCATGTCTCACATGTTTCTTAGATGCATTGGCATTTCCCAAATCGCATCCCATTATATGGTAATTAAGTACCCTTCCATATGTAAGATACTGATGATAGATATAGATTGGCAAGTAGGTGAAAGCTTTAAGCGACATATCTAAGATCATTCATGATTGTTTCAGTCTATTTTAATAGAACAAATTTATGTTCAGGCTGGTTTGATTTTGGGGCCTCAACTGTTCGATCTTCTTGAGCAATCGTCAAAGAAATTATCGTTGGACCCGGCGCTGGACGGAAGCGCGGCTTTAAGAGGCATCTCAGTGTGTGGAAACATTCTGCTTACATTCTTAATGTCAGTTAGAATCAGCCGTCGATTGGCATTCAACAGCGGACCGCTGCCCATCGTGATCGGGATCTTGATATTCATCGTTCCTCTATTCGGAGGCTTCTGTTTTCGGAACCTCTACACAGACAATGTAGACCCTCTCTATATGCCACCGAAGAAAGTCCTCTCCGAGCGCACTGTGATCATCTTTAGCCAATCCTCGATTCTCTTGACAACCGTCACTTATTTCCTGTCAGAGCTCAAGATCCTTAACTCCGAGCTTGGCCGCCTTGTATTGTCTTCATCCATGATCAGTGAGGTCCTCGTGGTTTTTTTCAGCGTACTCGGCGATGCTGCGCGAACGTACAAAAACGTCTCCCCCGTAACAGCCTACCGTGACGTTCTAGCGGTGCTCATCTTCTCTCTTGTCATCTTTTTCGTTTTTAGGCCAGCCGTAGAATGGATAATAGAACGCACACCGGAAGGCAAACCTGTCGCGAATAAGTATGTACATGCTGTAGTTTTATGTGCAATGGCTTCCGCTGCTTTCTCCTCGTTCTTCAATATGAAATACCTCCTGGGACCATTCGCGATTGGCCTTATCATACCAGAAGGTCCACCTTTAGGCTCAGCCTTGGAAGCCAAGTATTATGATCTGGCGATGAACGTGCTTATACCGATCTCAATCGCATGCACTACGATGAGATGTGACGTGATGAAGATCATCTACGAGTTTGATGACATCATGTACAACATGTTCTTAGTGGTTTTAACGCTCGTTTTGAAACTGGCCGCTGGCGTCGGACCTTGCTTGTACTGCAGGTTACCACTCAAGGACGCCATTGCCGTCTCTATCCTCTTGTGCTCCAAGAGCTTCCCCGACAACTTTCTCTACGAATGCGGATTCGACGATTTGGTAATCCCCCAATAGACACAAACATTTTTTATAGTCCGTTTTGCCATGATCTTTTAGTGTTGACATGGTTCGCTTTTTGTAGTATATATCCCAAGCAACGTTCACGTTCTTGATCATTAATGCGCTACTGAATTCTGGAATCGTCCCGGTGGTCTTGCCTAGTTTATACGATCCAAAGCGGCAGTACGTTGGTTACCAAAAAAGGAACATCATGACTCTGAAACCAAATTCAGATCTCCGGATTCTGACTTGTGTGCACAAACCTGAGAACATCTCCGGGACCATTGCATTCCTCCAATTATTGTCCTCGCCGAACCAAGAACTCCCCATCATGGTCACAGTCCTCCAACTCGTGAAGGTGGTGGGTAAAATCATCCCCGTCCTGATCTCGCACAACAAGAATTCAATACGGCTAATAGATAACTCCTACATCCATACCGCAAACCTTGCCTTCAGCCAGTTGGAGTCCGTGACAATGACAATGTTCACTGCTCTCACGCATGAGAACCTGATGCACGACGATATCTGCACGCTTGCGTTGGACCAGGCCACGTCCATGGCTATTGTCCCGTCTGGGAGGAAATGGACAATAGATGGGGCGTTCGAGTCAGACGACGAGGCCATAAGGCGTCTTAAGATGTCGCTACTCAGTCAGGCCCCTTGTTCAGTTGGGATACTCGTGGACCGTGGACAGTTTTCTCGCAAAGGAACGAGAAGGTACAACACCAAAGTCGGTGTGATCTTCATCGGAGGCAAAGATGATCGCGAGGCACTCTCGCTGGTGAAGAGGATGAAATATGACCTGAGGATAAATGTCACTGTTATCCGACTCATCTCAAACCAAGAAGCGGAGTCGACAAATTGGGAATATATTCTTGATCACGAGATCTTAGAGAATATGAAGGATACAGAGGCGACCAATCTGATTACATATACGGAGGTGACTCTGAACAGTGGTCCTGACGTGGCCACCACAGTCCGATTGATCTCCGGGGAATATGATCTTATAGTAGTCGGGAGAGATCACGGCGAGGCCACACCGGATTTCTCAGGACTCACGGAATGGATGGAACTCCCGGAATTAGGTGTCATTGGAGATTTACTGGCGGCTAGAGATCTCAAGTCTACGGCCTCTGTTTTGGTAGTTCAACAGCAACAGTAGACCTGAAAATGTTCGTCTGTTTGTACATTAATGTATATCTACATATTCGTTATATAGAATAGTTTTCATACATTCTCATTTTGTGAGAAAGAATGGTCAAAAATACCTCTGAGGGAGATCGACTAAGTTTTCCAAGTATCAAGAGAATACCTCTGAGTAAGCCATGCGATACTGTCCAAGTATTGACCAAGATATCTCATTGTGTTCTAAAGTTCATTGTGTTGCTATCTCTAAAGCGAATTGAGATATATGTCTACATCTTCAAGTGATCATTTCAAG